AGGGCTATCAGTGGATCTTCCTGACGAAGGATTCTCTTAGCGGTCTGTACTGCTCTTTCTGCATGACCGTTTCCTTGAGGATGGTGAGGACTAGACGTGATGTGTCTGAAGTCCAACTGCTGTGCCAGCTCCCGGAATTCTGCACTGGAGAATTGGGGACCATTGTCACTCACAACCTCTTCAGGAATTCCAAACCTAGCAAAGGTCGTTTTAAGTCTCTGGATGACAAGGGCACTGGTCGTAGATGGTAGTTGTAGTATCTCCAGGTACCGTGAATAGTAGTCTGAAATAACAAGGTAGTTGTGCTTGTTATGTTCACAGAGGCCGAGAGCGATTATTTTCCACGGACGATCAGGCAGCGGTGTGGAAATAAGCGGCTCCTTTTGTTGAGCCCGCTTCTGCTCCTGGCAGCTCCTGCATATGTTGACAATGTTCTTAATGTCTACAGAGAGCCCCGGCCACCAAACTGATGCATTCGCCCTTTCTCTGCATTTTGAGAGCCCCTGGTGTCCCTCATGTATTTTCTGCAAAATGTCTGCTCTCAGTGACCCCGGAACCACAATCCTGTTTCCTCGTATGACTAAGCCATCAGCTTCCGATAGCTCATTTTTCACTTTGGTGTAGTCCCTGATGTTCAGTGGAACATTACTACTGTATTCAGGCCATCCTGCCCTAATCAGCTTGATGACAGCCTGAAGCTCACTGTCGGCTGCTGTCTCTTTTCTGATATTCTCCATTCTCGTTGGAGATGCTGGGATGCCCTGTATCACTGTGGCTACATAGCATGCCACATCTTCTTGAGTGTCAGTCTCTTCCTTTGTATGTGTCTGTGGGCTTCGGGACAGTGTGTCGGCGACAACAAGGGTCTTCCCAGGCACATGCTCTGCTAAAGGTTTGTACCTCATGAGCCTCATTAGTAGACGCTGACATCTCAAGGGGACGTTATCTAGGCTTTGTTTGTTGATCAGTGGCACTAATGGTTTGTGGTCGGTCTCCAGCCTGAACTGATCCAAGCCACATAGATACTTGTCAAACTTCTTACAGGCCCATACGCTAACCAAGCACTCCTTTTCTATCTGGGCGTAGCGTGTCTCCGCTTCTGTGAGACGCCTCGAACAGTAGGCTACTGGCTTCCACTCCTCTTCATGGAGCTGGAGGAGGACCCCCCCCCAGGCCATAGCTACTGGCATCAGCAGACACCGCTGTGGCTTTAGCCACATCATAGAAGACAAGAACCGGTGCTGTGGTCAGCATTGTCTTAATGTTCTCAAAAGCTGACTGCTGTGAGTGACCCCAGGTCTAGATGTTCCTGCTCTTCAGAAGCTCGTACAGTGGTTGACCTATTGTGGAAAGGTTTGGAACGTACCTACCCAGGTAGTTCACCATGCCCAGGACTCTTTTCAGCTCATGGACGTTTCCTGGTGGAGCCAGCTGATGTATGGCTTCAACTTTATCAGGGTCGGGCCTGACTCCTGACTGGTCGATGAGATGTCCCAGAAAGCGTAGCTGGCTTTGTCTGAGGGAGCATTTATCTTTATTGAGTTTTAAGCCTGCTGACTCAACACGCTGTACCTTCTCGAGTCTGGCGTCGTGCTGTTCTGTCGATGTCCCATAGACCAGGATATCGTCCATGAAGACTTCAACGCCTTCCAGCCCCTGCAGAGTCTCTAGCATTTTCCGCTGGAAGATCTCAGGCGCACTGGAAATCCCGAAAGGTAACCTTTTGAAACAATACCTGCCAAACGGTGTTATAAAGGTTGTTAATTTACAGCTGACTGGGTGCAGTGGGATTTGCCAGAACCCACTTGCAGCGTCGAGAGAGGAAAACACAGTTGCACCACTTAGCTTTGCAGTTATTTCATCAGAGGTAGGTAAGATGTAGCGCTCTCTTTTTACTGACTCATTTAGGCTTTTCAGGTCCACACAGATCCTGGCTTTGCCTGTGGTTTTCTTTAGAACGGGCACCATAGGAGCACACCATTCAGTTGGCTGTGTTACCTTCTCGATGACACCGTTCTTCTCCATCCTCTGCAGTTCCTCTTTTACCATCTGTAACATTGGGAAGGGCACACGACGTGCTGTATGTACTGCATATGGTTGAGCCCCATCCTTTAATTGGATTTTAACAGGTTCAGTTTTTAGTGTGCCGTGCTCACCATAGGCTTGAAGGTGTTCACTGGTAGTGAATTTCACTTCATCAACACGCCTCACCAGGTTCATCTCCACTGACAAATCCCGGCTGAGTAGGTTTTTGACACTCTGGCCACGGACTACATATGCTTCAAATAGGTAGTTATTTCCCTTGTAACTAACTGTAGCATTAAAGCGTCCTAGACACAACAGTTCACCTCCTGGGCTGTCTAATGGGATGTCAGCTGGTTTCAGTGTTTTTGGTGGAGTGAGTGTGTGAAATGCATCCTCACATAAGACGCTGACATCAGCTCCTGTGTCAATTTTAAATTCCATTGGAGTAGAATCCACCTGGAGCTGTACTGTCCACTGCTCTTTCTCATCTGCACTGCACACTGAGCCTAAGAAATAATGGGTCTGCTCAGCCTGTACAGTCCCTGTGACCTCATTCACTGATCTATTGGTGTTTCGGCACACTCTGGCCCAATGTCCTATTTTGTTGCACTTGTGGCATGTAGCTTTAGCTGCAGGACACCCTTCTTCCTTGCTATGCTGTGATTTACCACATTTACCACATTTCCTTTCACTTCCCCCCCATTTTCTGTCTTTTAACTTGTTGAGGTTTCCATTTGTTATTTATTTCTTTGAATCTCACCTCCTGTACTGATCCCACTGTGTCTTCCTGCAGACTCACTTGTGCTGCGACCTCCTCTGACTGCCTGACGGTCCGTATAGTCAGTGCTAGTGTTAGGTCCGCCGTCAGCTGCAGTCTGTGCGAGAGCTCTCTGTCTCGTATCCCGACAACGATTCGGTCGCGGATATTCTCATCTCGGCTTACGCCAAACTCACGGTGTTCAGATAGATCATACAGGGCTCGGATTAAACCCTCTGCCTTCTCCCCTGGCCGCTGGACCCGCTGGTGGAAACATGCCCTCTCGTGGATAACGTTCCTCCTCGGGAAAAAGTACTCGTTGAACTTTCCCACCACAACGGCAAAGTCATCGCCGTCTGCTTCTTCGGCAAAAGTGAAAGACTTGAAAATGTTTTCTGCCTCGTTGCCCATGGCATAAATCAAGCAGCTCACCTGCACTCTCCCGTCATCTTTGTCGAGTTTAGTAGCGAGTCTGTACCGCTCAAAGCGTTGCCTCCATTCTGGCCATTCAGTCGGCTTATCAAACGAAAAGTTCGCTGGGGGATTAAACTTGGCCATTCCGCCGTCTATATTCCTCTACTTTGTCTTGTTTAATTCCTGTGACTCACCGGCCACTTCTAACACCATGTAGAATGATCGAGGGTCGAGTATCTTTCACGACTCAGGTTTATTGTACAGTAAGTCAAGACATTACAGTAGGCAGCAACAACACAACTCGCGGGCTTACTCTCAAGTAAAGCAATCCCTCGCATGCCGTAAAGCATGTCGCAACACTGTCCTAACAGCCTTAACTCTGTATGCATTGTATGCATATGTGACACTTACTTCAGTCAAACACCAGTCAACATTCAGCTTGTCAAACAAGAGTGTAGCAGGAAAAAAGAAGAGATGGAATGAGCAACTGCGCTGTCATATGTGTGGGCTGGTCTGTATAGTTTAATTTACAGGAAAGGAGTGAGCAGAGGGTTGAGTTGTCCATTCTTGTTCTGTTTTCTCTGACTATCTTCCTCCTGAAGACCCTCTCAGACTTTCATTTGCCCGCGCTACTAAAGAGACACGTTACCATGAAAACCAAACAATGGTGTAGCTGTATTGAAGTCCGAGTGGAAACAGTAACATTTGGTGCGGGAGGAAAACGGGAGTCTCCCGCAAAAATCGGGAGGGTTGGCAAGTAGGCTATGTCACATACATACGCACTTTTTGCCCCCCCCACTTCTGAAATGAATCCGGCGCCGCTGATATGTACTACAGCGGCTCCAGCGCTTTCGAGCGGCAATGGCCGGCCGTGGCCCAACCCCACATTCCCCTGATAGGTGGAGAGTTGGCCATATAGGCGGAGCTCCTCGTTCCTGACGTCAGAGAATTTTCAAATCTGTATCAGTCTGTATCAGCTCCGTTGCAGCCCCGTTTTTAGAGATTTGGGTAGGCCTATGGAGGAAAAGAGAGAGGGTTGTGTTTTCGGACACTTGGTGAGTTCCCTGACACACCGGGGACACATATTCATGTATAAAAGACGTACCAAAGTGTATTTTGCATGATAGGTCCCCTTTAAATGGATCAGGACAAAAAGTGAGCGAATCTTTTTTCCTGAAACTTTCAGAATCTCTTTACACAGAGGGGACACATGTATAAAAGACATTAAAAATTGCATTTAGCATGACAGGTCCCCTATAAGAGGAAGTTTATATGTATCATTTTCTTTTCTTTTAAGTGAGTTATTATTTTATGTCACTGTTGTAAAATACCTTAATTATAAAAGGCAAGATGTAATGTGGATTGGGACAATTGGGAAGTTTAAGGGGCATTTTTGGTTCATTTTGGAGAAAATCATATTTACAAAGTAAAATTAGATGCAATATTGTATAAGTGACTGCTAAATGAAAAAACATGTGCACTGTGTTTAGCATGCCTGAATTGAAAGAATATATATTTTATAAAAACATAATAATAATCATAATAGTATTTTTTCTATAATAATGTTTTGCTGGCAATGCACATACTTTTATGTAAAAACCCTAGTTTGGCATTACATTGGATTCTGTTTTTACGTGACAAATTAGTCAGAGCTTTCGGGTTGCACAAGTAAAGGACATTAGTGCCATAAATAGAGCATTATGAGTCTGCCTGTGAGCAGCTGACTGACTTCTGCTTTGGGTTCCTGTTGGTGCAGCGAGGGTAAACAGAACACAGAGGAGGCGGGGAGGCGGGGAGGCGGGGAGGGAGGGGTTAAACACGGCAAGAAAAGTTTGTTTGGTTGCCTCAAAAGCAATGGACGAAGTTTGTGAACTCATTTAGCTCAACTCGAGGGGAAATAAAGCAGAGAGACACTATGGTAGAAAAGTAGATAGACTAGTATTCTCTTCGGGGAAGTGTTTGCAGAAACATCGTATGACCTCACTGAAGTATGGCAGATGGGAATGAGACGGTCGTGTACTTCTCTGAGCAGGTGGTCGTGTTGTGTTCATGTGCACTCTCCTTCCTGGGCTCCTCTCTTATCATCCTCACCTACATTATCTGGGCTGATTTGAGGACTACTCCCCGCAGGCTGCTGGTCTTCCTCTCGGTGTCTGACTGGCTGTCCGCCGTCTCCTACGCCTACGGGGTCTGGCGGGTCTTCCGCACCGACTCGCTGGACTGCATCGCGCAGGGAGCCGTGTCCACCTTCGCCAACACCAGCTCCTTCTTCTGGACCGTGGCCATCGCTGTGTACCTGTATGTGTTCATCGTCCGGTCCAACCAGAGAGCCGCAGACAGCCTGGTGTGGTGCTTCCACATCGTCAGGTAACTGCTAACTTATGCTAACTACCAGAGCTAATAACTTTTGGTGGAGTCTGGAGATAGCTGACTAAAGTTAAGTTTCATTAGATGGAGTGGGATGCCTCCCACCTGTAGGCGACCCTGAAGCATGTTGGGATATTCTGGTGACAAATCGCCTTAAACCAGAATTTTTTTTATTCTATTAATTTTGGACAGCAAAAGAAAAGTGTATGACTTCGTCTTTGTTTTAACTCTAAAAAAGAGTTCATGAGTTTGTTTCGGTTAATTTGTTATATTGGTGTAGTTTGCAGTGGTGCAAAGTAACCAAGTATATTTACTCAAACTTGAGTAAATATACTTGGTTACTTTGCACCAAATAAATATATATTTCAATTTCTGGCTACTCTGTACTTCTACCCCACTACAATTTCGATATTAAATGTGTGCTTTTACTACATTTATATAACACCTTTATGTAGGCTACTTGGCAGATTTGGATGAATTATTTGATAATCAACACTTAACTAAGACTTCAGTTACTTTAGCCCTGGAGTAAATTCGCAAGCTACCCTGCAGAATACAAAGTCATTAAAATTAGCTACACCATTACCAGCTTTGAGAACACTTTAATGCATCAATAATTATAAGGAAAAAATATTCCTACAAACTGGTACTTCTACTTTAACAAGATCTGAGTACTTCTCCCACCTCTGATAGTTTGCCCATTGACAAACAATGTTTTAATCCATGTGTGTGTTTATGGTGTGTATACAGTGTCGTAGGTTTACATCCCTAAACAAGCTGTTCGGGTGCCTGCGTCAGAAATATTATTAAAATATATGATAATTCCACTTCCACTAAATGGTATTGTTTTTAACCAGCCTGAGTACTGAAACAACTACCAATTCTTGTTTTATTTTCAGAACTGTAAACCTTTTAAATACGCACACATTTAATAAGGTTCCTTAATACAAAGTTCTAGGGTCACAGTTAGAGAAAAGTGAATGATAACTTGTATTCATGCGTTGCAGCAAACACATAATTCTGCAACAATACTCTTGGTGTATAGGCCTACTGTGGAAATATGGGGCAAATAGCAAACATGATAAAATGGCTCAATCTGGTGGAAACGTGTAAAAATTACATTTTGTGACCGAGGACTAGGGTATCAAAGACATTAATTCAGAATGTACTAAACATCAGTATACTTTGTTTGTAAAACAATGGATGCAAACTAATTGGTCATTTGGCCGGTTAACTAGATCTCAGCGTGTAGTAGGTTTACTCACAATAGGTAAATTGATGTTACCATAATGACCAGACTCTCATACCACTGTGATCTTTTAATTATCTAATTTGTTTATACTGGCCTTGAATAAGATAGCTCTTAGTTGTCTTCGCAAAAGGAGCTAAACCTGTTTTTCATTAGACAAGGCAAGTTAATTTGTACCGCAGCCTTCAACAACAAGGAAATTCAAATAGCTTAATTCAAGACATATAAAAACATAAAGACAATTGCACAATCACATTACAAGTTGTATGGGTAATCCCCAATATAATTGGATTAAAACCGTATCAAACAAGATCACACAGTTTTACAATCATACATTTGAAAGCTATTTAGCAAGCTGCTTGTTTTTTCATTAACTAGACGTTATGAATGCTCAGTTTTCCTTCTGCACATTAAAGAGCTGTCCATGTTGATTATGAAGATAAGTTATCTATTTTTGGACACAAGAACATTTTCACCCCTGGGCACTCCTCAAAGCAGTGCCTGGGTTTGTTCTTTTAATTTTGTTTCTGTGAATTATCAAATGCTCCATTGAATTCGAAATCACACAACAGAGCCGCCATTCATCAAGGCTTGTATACAAAACAAACACACACAGGGTGTGCATTGTGGATTTATATCAGCCATGTAGGGCCAATAAAGTATAGTATTCCCTTAAGATGGGCATTGCTTGCAGTGTTTCCCCTATATACAAATAGTGTTCCACGCTCACATTATGCTGGGCCCACGTGCCTTAGCACCGCTGCTATGACTCCATCCTAGGGGAAACACTGGCTTGTTAAAGTGAAATAATTTTGTGGTTTTATGTCACACAGAGCTGAAGCAACACAACTGGTGACTCTGCAGTGTGCACTAACACACATAGGCCTTGTGTCACATGTCTTTTCAACGTTTTTGGATGTTGACCCCTCTCCTAAAGCTTGCAAGTTGACTTCTTTTAGGTTGTTTTGTTAAATCCTCTAAACTCTTTGTGTGTGTGTTGTAGTTGGGGTGTTCCTCTGGCCATCACTGTTGCGGCCGTGTGCCTGTACAAGATCGGCTACGATGCGTCAGAGGTGTCGGTGGGCTGGTGCTGGGTCAGGATCCACGCTCCAGACCGGATCCTTTGGATGCTGCTCACCGGGAAGATCTGGGAGTTCTTGGCTTACCTCACCCTGCCTGTCCTCTACATCCTGATCAAGCGACACATCCACATAGCGGTGAGGATACAGTGTTTGTGTACCTGCACACTACATTCAATACACTTATGATGCACAACTGCATAGGCATGAACAGTGGAATACAGAACAACTTGCAGATATTGAAAATTGCTGTATTAAATTCTACAGTTGCAACATTACAGTCATAAACAGTAGTTACATTTAATTGCACATATGTATCCGTATAAAAAAGACAACACTTGGGAAAATGTTAAAACACTGCAGCAGTGGTTAGAAGTAAAAAATGGCTAGTGAAGACACCTAATATACTAAATAGCAATAGCCACACTTAAAAGAAAGAAAGCAAATTCAGCAAATGTTCAAAATTAAGCAGGAATATTAAATTGTTAAACATTCTAAATGTACCTAAAAGTTTACCCAGAAATGTGTCTTCGTCGTTTTGTTAGTTGAGAAGCATGACAATCAAATCCACAAAGTGTTACAATTCTTTGCTTATTGAAGTCCTTTTCAGATGTTTTTTGAAAAAGATAATTTAGGTTTTGAATGTAGTGATGGAAATAGATTGTAAAGTATAAATAGACATACATATTTTTTAGAAATATTAAATCTGCATCTCAGTTTGGGTCACCAATATACAAACTGATCAAATATAATGAGCAAACAAACGGTTTCAAAATTCTCTCTATCTGGAGTACTAAGAATTTCTCTAAGGAAAAAGTCCACTAAACATTAAGATGTTTTTTGGACTCTTGGCCTTCAAGTTGTCTGTTTTTTAAGAAATCAAATAAGGCGCAAATTCAAACTGAGGGAACGAGACACAACCGACCTTTGATATGGAAAATATTTGTTCTCAAGTCACATCTCCCTCAAGCAGCCTCAATGTTATATGTAGGAAATTCAAATGACATGCCGATTTTCTGTATTTGGAACTTAAGAATATATGCTTCAAGTTTATAAATACATATTTAGAAAAGATTTAATGAAATCTTGTCTGTTTGCACAGCATGCTGCCCTGTCAGAGTACCGTCCCATCTTGGCCACCAGGCCTCCGTCACAGTCCTTCTCCTCCATGGCGGATATGAAGCTGACTCTCATCCCCATCATCTTCATCGTGCTGCGGATCTGGAGCACCGTGCGCTTCATCCTGCTGCTCGTCGACTCCCCGGCCCGACAGCACCCGGTGCTGGTCACACTACATGTGAGTTTAAAGTTTCTTTTAATCCCTTATTTGAAAATGTTAAACATAAAGGATGCTTGCTAATTGTCTTAATCTCATTCATCTAGTTTCATAACCTGATAAAACTTCCTCATTCTTTTTAGATGAGGTGTGTGTGAGTTGTTTTGTGTGTATGACAGCACATACGTGTGGGTGTAAATGTGCTGTCATGTATCATTTGTTCATGTGCTGTTGAACTTGTGATGGTGGGATTGCATGCTGTCAGATCTGTGAATCATCACGCATTCATCATGAAAAGTTCCTGTGGTGACGGATATCTATAAACATCTGAAAAGTTGCTAAGTATATTTCTAACCGTTAGTCTTTTTTTAACTTGGTTAAAAATGAAAACCTTTATGATGAATACTTTCCTGGACAGTTGGATTACATCATGTTGATACTGCCATTGTAAAACACTATTTAACATAATAATACAACGGTTCATCAGAAAAATTGGTAATTTGATTAATTCAGAAAAATTAAAAGTTATTCCATACGACAATCATAAACTGAATTTATAATATTAACTGTAGGAGCCATGAAACGTATATAGTAATGCGTTTTGTTTTAAACTAAGATATTTGTTTGATCACCGTGGGTTGGTTGGCTTGGCTCACATGGATATGGGCGGCACTCATTATAATCCTATTCACCTGCGTGAGGTGTGTGTGGAAGAGAGGGTGACACAGGGGCTGCATCTCACTTCGGTTGAATGAAATCCTTGCGTCCCTCACTTGCGTCGTTTCCCTGCATTTAGTCCCTCCCACCAGGGAAGCATGGAGAGACGCAAGGAAACCACGAGAAGCAGGGAAATGCGCTTTAAGGGCAATGGGACGTCCTTTCCTCCGGAGCGTCACGTGACGTCCGTTTGTGATGACTCCGCACAGCTGATCGTGACAGCAGCTCTGTCCCCGTTATTTTCACAAACACCCCCGCCACACATTTACCGACATAAACATTTGTAACATCTGTTGTAGACCCAAATATATTAAATAAAATAAGAACTCATTCTCAAAAAAGATAAACGCCATTCTTAAAATGTATAAACGAACAATAGTTTGATTAATATTGATTAGAGTGCACAATAGAAATAAAATAATTGAGAGAAGAAAAAGAGATATGTTATCTATCAAAACCCAGTTAGATTAACATTCATTGAACTGTACACTTTGTTTGTTTGTGTGGATATGTAGCACATTAACATTTTAATAGCACTTAATGACTGACTGAATGGAAATGACAATACATGAAAATGTAAAACGAAAAAAGCGTTTATAATAATTTCCAGGGGATGCATGCAGAGCTGTCATTGGCTGAGATAAGTCCGGCCGTGCGTCACGCCTCTTTTAAACATCACTGTTGCTGGAAATTCATCCGCGGAGGAGCCGTGGAGGACCCATCAGTGTATCCTCGATTATAGCTCCTCCAGAGAGCCTCCTTGATGCTCGATGCTCGGTCCTCGAAGTGCATTTAGAGAAATTAGATGTCCTTCAACATGGCACGCTGAAAACCATTTCCGGGTCACTACCGGAGGACCGAGGATTCGAGGAGTCGAGGAGGGGAAATTAGAGAAATAAGAAAGGCCCCCGGCCTCAGCCTCTCAGCAACTTTGTTTGTTGCCTGCTGTCGCTATATTAACTAATCATGGTCAGATAATAATATGTAGAGATTTGGATTCAAACGATTCAGGGATATGTTATTCCATTGAATAATCTGTTACTGTTACACTTCTCTTAAAAGAAAACAATAATAATTGAATTCAGTTACCATATTTGCTGCCTGCACCTACACATCATTAAACATTGAATGCTTTTGTCTGGACCCAACAGGGAATTGGGAACACCTCGCAGGGAGCAGCTAACTGCATCATGTTCGTCCTGCTGACTCGGCCGCTCCGCACACGCCTCTGCGCCGCACTCTTCTGCTGCTCCAAGTGTCGGGCGGACTCTCAGGACGCCGCTCAGAGGCTGCTGCCGGGACAGGACGCCTCCACACCGAGAGAAGAAGACCGCAGCAGTCGAGTGGGGACTGATGGATGATACTCTGCGGGTGAGAAGAAAAACTTGGGTAGACATTCGGTGTGCGGGGGAGCTCTCTGCCTCACCTTGAGCCTCATTACAGCGAGTGCCTGCTGAGAGGTTGGAGATTCTGCAGGTGTTTGCACATCTATGTCACAGGGAGTCACACGTCTGCACTCTGGTGATGAGCGTGCTGCTGCCTTGGTGAATCTTTTTCAGTGTGGCACATGATTTTCTTTCAACCTTAAAGTGCTTTTTTACTTACAGTTGTTATTGTAGGTGTTTTTCTTATTGTATTTTGAACAACTGTACACTCCGTGAAGGGTTAGCAGCTTTACTTATCACATAATATGTGGGTTCACTTACATTCTGGGATTAATCACTGTGAAGTTAATGAATATTCAGTTTTTATATTGTTACACGGTACTGTACAGACTCGTTTTTATGGAGAAAAATGACCCACATTTAAGTGCCTGCAGCATTCTCACTGTGATTAACAAATGATGTCCAATTCTAAACTTTCACAAAGACTAAGTGAGAACAACCACCTACAATCGTATCTTACCACTATCAAAGTCTGTTGGCTTGAATGGTTGTGGTCAGCTTGAGTGAACTTTCTCAGTTTGAGTTACTTGTAATGTGCTCAGTCATTGTTCTTCTAAAATATGCCTAAATGCACGTCTTACTAGAGAGCTGTGGTGCTTCGTGGAAGGTTATAGCACAACAGCAGCACATTGGGTCCTATTTTGGTGAATGAAATAGATTTTGTAACGCACTAAATAGTGAATAAATATCTTGGAAGACAATTAAGCTGCAGGTGGGATATGAAAAGATTCAATTTCACACGTATTTCCCAAAGTAAAATCCTGTCAACGTTACAATCCTTTGTAACTGTAATGACCTTAACCTGAACACAGCTGCTGCTTTGTTACTAAGGAAAACGGCAAACAATTGTGCATCACAGCTACACTTTTGTTTGTGTTTATATTTTGGGTAGATTATCCTATATGTTTTTACTTTAATATCAAATTTCAAATATCAGATATAACTTTGCATATGTGAAAGAAACTTGATTACATCTGACTGTCTATATAAAGTAAATGACATGATATGGGCGCTGTTTTGTGAGTTGAATGAACTTAAATACACATTCAACCTTTTATTTAAAAAATCTTTTTCACTGAAAAACACAAAAATAAGAAACTTTGATGGCAATAAAAACATACAATTTTGAATACAACAAACATTTAAAAGTTAAAGCAACATAAAACAAGAACAGCTGCAAGTGAAATATGATGAAATGAACTAAATTGATTACCCTAAGGATAAACTAAGCTGAAGATTGTTCTGCATTTTATCATTACATTAAAAGTTTCATCTATGATGCTCCATATTTAGTATTAATTCCAACTATATTTGTGTTTCCTATCATTGCCTAACTTCATAGTTGCAACATTTTTCGACAGTAGTAGCAAAACCCCATCAGTATTTGACGTGTCACAAAAAATGACTTGACATCAATACTGTCATTGTGGTCAGGATGCATGACCTAGCATCACATGGCGTCCTTCTCTTTTTGAAACCAGACCTTGTGAGCCTCACTTCTCCTTTGACCCCCGCTGTTGTTAGCTCCTGTTCCCCGACTGAGCTCCAGGCCCACCGCATACCAACGAGGCATCACTGCGAACCCGCTGAACCACACTCATGCGACCTCAAGCCCCGTAGTTCCTTCAGATCTTTAAAATATTTTCTAAGATCCATTGAGTTTAATGAGCCTGCCTTGAGGATGAGCTACATTAAAATTAGATTCATTACTGTGGTGATCGTTGGAAAAAAGGTGAAGCAGGGGAATTTTCATCTTTTTGACAGCTAATTTTCTCTTATCCTAAAGTGATTATTGTTTGTTTGACTCTCACAGAGGGCAGGCACTTGTTTGTGTTGAGAAGGTGGCGTCACAGTGAGGGGATTTATGGCTGTTTGCTCTGGGTTGGCAGCAAAATACAATTGTGGGGTGTACTTGGGTATTTCCATAGTATGCTACTTAATGGTTCTACACTCCAAAGACACTAGCACTATGTAATGCAAACTATCCCCACATACATCTACAGGACTAAAGTAAAGGGCAAATGAATGTATCACTGGACATCATTAAGTAATATATTTTACATTATTCAGAAAACCTTTTGTACATTTACTTAATGATCTTGAATGCATGACTTACTTGTAACAGAGTATGTTTACAATGTGGTATTGATAAATAAGATTAAATGTTCTCTTCCACCACTGTGTCTTGATCTGTTTGATGACTTGGGTAATGCAATAGTGAGTAATATGGTTGTAATAATTTGTATATCAGGTCAGTCAGTCAGTCTCTGCAGCTACACTGAGGGCAGTTAGTTCTCATACATCATTCCAAAAGCCTGGAGACTTTTGGCTGTTTATAGTAGAAATTATGAAAACATCAATATTTGTATGAGATAAAGAAGAGCTTTTCTTCCATCTAATTTTACACATGGTCTAAACGTGACACCGAGCAGAGGTCGTCCTCTCAGGACCAACATAACTGATACCATGTCTGGGAAAATGGAAGAAGTGCAGTGCTGTTTATGCTGATGACATGAAAAACAGATATTTGTCCTTGAGGACGGCAGAGGCCAGACAGACGACCGACACTTACTGTATTTCCTGCAGGAATGACTCCATCGTGTTATTGTGAGATTGGGCTGACACTGGTGTAACTGGAGCTCTTGGAAACACTTAAGGAAGGGGTTTCTGCTCTCTCCTGCTGGCTCTCTGCCCACTTAATTCATTAAGTTAAAGAGTGCCACGCTGCATGGGGGGACCATTCACCAGTCAAGGTAATGGAAGTACTTTTTTCACAACACAGGCTGTTCATTTAGCTGTGTCAGTGGTTCATAGAGCCAATTCTCAACACAGCAGAGGTAATGAGCAACAGTTTAGAGCTGCTTATTTAAATTAGAAGAGACACGCATGTAATATAAAATGTCAGAAACACTAGATTCATTAAAAGAGAGGTTACTGGTTGGCTCCTGTGTTCTCAGTGTGTGAATAATTAGGCACTGAGATATTAAAGGGACACAGAGGACTGCACTGTGACTTTAAGTCTATCTTCTCCTCTCCCTTTGCATGTAGATATGCTACCAAACACAGTATTAGCTCCCCCAACTGTTACCTAAAAATATTGCAACCGCTCTAATCAACTTTAATTTGGCCCAAAACTGTTGTGGAATAACTGGCTGCAATACACGTTATTTTAAATGTTGATGAAAGTACTTTTCTGGTAACAAGCTGTTACTGCTGCATTTTACTGCTGTGGTTTTCATTGGACAGAAAGCTGGTAAAACAGACTATATCTAAAAAGTACCGCTGTCTGACAAAGTAGCGTAACGTGGAAATACGCAAGTTCTTAGTTACATTCAACCCCCTGGGCATAAAGATAATGTAATAAACAAATTGGATATTGTTTTTGGATCCTGAGCCTAATCCATCAGGTTATGTTGGAGACATTTAGCCAAAATAGACCCATATTTCTAATGATTTACCTGTAGTTAAACACAGTGTCCAATTATGTTGCAACAAATGCTATAGGCTAAGTGAAAATGACGTATGTTGAATTGAATATATGACAGTTTTTCTTTTAGTTTTAATGGTTGAAAATATAATTTATAAACTGTGAGACAATAAAAATGTGTCTTTCCTAAAAATGTTTGACTTTGTTTTTTGTAAAGGTAGGAACCTATGTGTGTTGGTGAGAGGTTCTGCCGGAAGGCTCATACAGTTTTTGACCACACACGGAGCACGCGCACGCACACACACACACACACACACACACACACACACACACACACACACACACACACACACACACACACACACACACACACACACACACACACACGGAGAACACGCACACATACACGGGATTAAAAACAAAGCAAAAGGTATTGTGTAAACCATAAATATTGTGTGGTGAATGAAACAAAGAAACCAGTAAAAAAGGGAAATAAATGGACTATTTCGAACTGGAAACGTTGGTTCTGACTTTTATTCGGCAGCAAACAAGGTGTGCGTCAATTACACCCACCAAGCGGATCCTCAGAGGCTTAAAGCGTTGGTTTAGCCCAGGGGTGCCCAACCTTTTTTGAACCGAGAGCTACTTTTAAAGTTGCCAGTCTGCCGAGATCTACCAGACCAAATAGAGAGGCGTAGCCATTACTGACAGCCTACTACCAGGTAAATACACACTTCTACTTGTATAAAACTGACCTTCGTACGATTAATACTTCATAAAATAATGCCTTTATTTTACCTCTTTCTAATCTACACACATACAAGTATTTAACTGAAGTTACACAACAGTGTTGTTGATACAGAGTTGGTGTTTATTCACACGTCACGTGGGTAATGTTTTCAAGAAACATTGAACAGTGCTGCCACATGCTGCCACATGCCACAGGAAAAAAAGAAAATACTCTGAACCCTTTATTAGGCATTATATAAAAATAGTGTTGCTACAAAAGTATAAATTAGGCTTACTAATAAGACAACTCAGATCTGAAGCTACACAGGAATCTGCTGCAACAGTGCAATAAAAAAGACAAAATTAATAGACTACTCCACAACTTCGCAGTCTTTGAAAGACTTCATGTGTTTCCATAGCCGCGGGAAGTCATTTTGCTCAGGGGGTGCTGCCAAAAGTGGGGATGGAGCCGTTTACATTTAAAAAAAAAAGGCGGTGCCGGGCCCGGCTGTCAGCGATACGAGCCGCATACATTGTTTGTTAAAGGCGAGACACGGCAGGCAAAAACATCGTTTTTCATGCACTGGTCAATTTTGAGATGTTGTGCTATTTTGATTCCATAACATGTTTTCTTTCAGGCTTTTGGAAGGAAAACGTACAAAATACACATTTAAGTGTTAATTTTACTATAGTTGGTCTATTTGAATCTGTATATTTCTCCTAAATTCACCAAAAGTTAGCATTTCTAACGTAACATAAAGTACCGCGACCGCTGTTTGCACCATGTCATCGTTGGAAAAGCTCCGTCTCTCCTGCACAATGATCTCATCCGATCCAAATATGGTCATTTCCTTTGTATCAGCAACCAATCGTGAAAGCACAAAAGGGTCTTTTTTAAACCAAGAAACGAAATCTCATTGGCTCGTGTCAACTTCTGACAACGTGATTCGTTCAGATGCGTCACGTGATGTGCTAAAACACTTCCTGGTTAGCTTTCCGCTAGACATTTAAATCTGAAAATGGCAAAGGAACGGCGAAAAGACAGAGAAGACAACAACAATTGTCACTTGCACGAAGCAAGGTTATACAAAACACAAATGACCCCGAACATGAAATACCTTCTTGGAGTGCGTTGATGCGCAAGCTGTCATCCAAAGAACAGGAGGGTTTAGCTAGCGCCTCACTGCAATCTTTAAAGGTCATTTTCTCAAAATGAGTTTTTTCTCCTACTCTGAGTCCGAAATGTCCACTTCAGTTGCACTTACATACACCAAACCTTCCAGTTATATTCCTATCAATATTATGAAGGCTTTTACAGAAGGGTTTGTTCATATATCATTCATAGCCTGAATTATATAAGATTTTATACCTAGAAACATGGCGAAAATTGATATTATAGGGCTGTTGACAATATTTTCTGATTTATGGAGTGATAAAGAGAGATATCCAAAATCCCTTCTGTAAAAGCCTTAGATGCTAATATGACTACAAAATGAAACGAGAATTTTGAACCTGGCTTTATCCAAAGTTCAGATTTCGGTTCCTGAAATGTGTTAAAATATGCGCAAATGTAATGAGATAATGGATAATTTATATATATTACTCTAGTTGTAGAGGTGGTGGGCTGAGGAGTAGCTGGTGGTCCACTCCACTCTTTTTATTGGGTTGTTTGTTGGAGAAAAAAAAATCCAAAATCCTTTTTTGCGCCATTCTAGAAAGTTGTCACTCTGCAGTGTGTGTGTCGCGTCAATTACGTCACTCTCCCAAGACCTACGAACTAGATGACTCGGATTTTACTTATTTGGAAAATAAATTCAAGCCACCTGATATATACAAATATATACTATGACTATTATATGCTACTGTATACAGCTAATTTTATTTAAAGTAAAATCATAACTATTTTATGTAGTTTAATAATTTTTATTTAGGTGGTCACTCAGTTTTTCAAAAGTACACCACTCGCCAACAGGGAGTGCTGCAGCACCCCCAGCACCCCTACTTCCCGCGGCTATGTGTGTTTCTCAAGAACGTGACGGACACGATAAGATGCTCTGGTAGCAGCCTTGCTCTTGTTGTTGGGCCTGGTGGAAATGGACTACTGTGCATTTAGCTGTCCTTTCAGGCCCCTCCCCTTTACTGCGGTCAACTCAGCCGTCTCTCAAATTTGCTTGGTCAAATGAGCAGTTCTTCATTTTTGAGTGCGCGATTTATAGCGCCTTACGGTAATCGCTGAGAAGCGGCACCAACGCAAGAGTAAAAGAATGCATGTTTTTTATGCTTCATGCGATACAAATTATTTTTACCATGAGTTCTTAAAAAAACTAACACTGTTTGACTCAGTACAATAAAATGAAGTACTTTTACTGTCTTTTTTCTGGGTAATACTCTCAAATTCCCTTCCTGAGAACAAAATCATGCAACTTCTGCTATATTTGATGAGATAAAATGATTTTTAGCGATACATCCTTAATAAAAGTGATACTGTTGGACTCACTACTTGTTAGAGTACTACCACAAGTACAATCAAGTACTTTTACTGTGTACTTTTGAGTAATCCCCTGTCCCCTGTCAAACTGCCCTCCAGAGTACAATAATGCATGTTTTCTGCCCTCTTTGATGAGAGATAAAAGGATTTTTTGCAATAAGTTCTTAGTGAAATTGATACTGTTGAACTCAGTACTACTTGGACTAGTAGCACAAGTACAATCAAGTACTTTTACTGTGTACTTTTTGAGTAATCCCCTGTCAAACTCCCCTCCAGAGTACAATAATGCATGTTTTCTGCCATCTTTGATGAGAGATACAATTATTTTGTGCAATAAGTTCTTAATGTAATTGGTACTGTTGGATTCAGTACTACTTGGACTACTACCAAAAGTACAATCAAGTACTTTTACTGTGTACCTTTTGAGTAATCCTTTGTCAAACTCCACCCCTGACTACAATAATGCATGTTTTCTGCCATCTTTGATGAGAGATAAAATGATTTTGTGCAATAAGTTCTTAATGTAATTAGTACTGTTGGATTCAGTACTACTTGGACTACTACCAAAAGTACAATCAAGTACTTTTACTGTGTATTTTTGGAGTAATCCTTTGTCAAACTCCACCCCTGAGTACAATAATGCATGTTTTCTACCATCTTTGATGAGAGATAAAATGATTTTGTGCAATAAGTTCTTAATGTAATTGGTACTGTTGGATTCAGTGCTACTTGGACTACTACCAAAAGTACAATCAAGTACTTTTACTGTGTACTTTTTTGAGTAATCCTTTGTCAAACTCCACCCCTGAGTACAATAATGCATGTTTTCTGCCATCTTTGATGAGAGATAAAATGATTTTGTGCAATAAGTTCTTAATGTAATTGGTACTGTTGGATTCAGTACTACTTGGACTACTACCAAAAGTACAATCAAGTACTTTTACTGTGTACCTTTTGAGTAATCCTTTGTCAAACTCCACCCCTGAGTACAATAATGCATGTTTTCTGCCATCTTTGATGAGAGATAAAATGATTTTGTGCAATAAGTTCTTAATGTAATTGGTACTGTTGGATTCAGTACTACTTGGACTACTACCAAAAGTACAATCAAGTACTTTTACTGTGTACCTTTTGAGTAATCCTTTGTCAAACTCCACCCCTGAGTACAATAATGCATGTTTTCTGCCATCTTTGATGAGAGATAAAATGATTTTGTGCAATAAGTTCTTAATGTAATTGGTACTGTTGGATTCAGTACTACTTGGACTACTACCAAAAGTACAATCAAGTACTTTTACTGTGTACCTTTTGAGTAATCCTTTGTCAAACTCCACCCCTGACTACAATAATGCATGTTTTCTGCCATCTTTGATGAGAGATAAAATGATTTTGTGCAATAAGTTCTTAATGTAATTAGTACTGTTGGATTCAGTACTACTTGGACTACTACCAAAAGTACAATCAAGTACTTTTACTGTGTATTTTTGGAGTAATCCTTTGTCAAACTCCACCCCTGAGTACAATAATGCATGTTTTCTGCCATCTTTGATGAGAGATAAAATGATTTTGTGCAATAAGTTCTTAATGTAATTGGTACTGTTGGATTCAGTGCTACTTGGACTACTACCAAAAGTACAATCAAGTACTTTTACTGTGTACTTTTTTGAGTAATCCTTTGTCAAACTCCACCCCTGAGTACAATAATGCATGTTTTCTGCCATCTTTGATGAGAGATAAAATGATTTTGTGCAATAAGTTCTTAATGTAATTGGTACTGTTGGATTCAGTACTACTTGGACTACTACCAAAAGTACAATCAAGTACTTTTACTGTGTACCTTTTGAGTAATCCTTTGTCAAACTCCACCCCTGAGTACAATAATGCATGTTTTCTGCCATCTTTGATGAGAGATAAAATGATTTTGTGCAATAAGTTCTTAATGTAATTGGTACTGTTGGATTCAGTACTACTTGGACTACTACCAAAACTACTACGCTGCTTTTAATTGAACTATTCACATCTTAGACTGCACTGTAACTTTTATCCATGTATTTTTTCTTTTAATGTTTCTTTTATTAGCTTTTCTTTTTAATGACTGATTTTAAATGCCATTTTCTTAATGTCTTTCATTTTTTGTAAAGCACTTTGAATTGCCTTGTGTTGAAAAGTGCTATATAAATAAACTTGCCTTGCCTTGCCTAATAAATGCCACTACAATGTCCGAGCTGGATGAAGTTGTCACCAGTGCTGTTGTGGTATTCTCCAGCTCCCACAGTGACAGAAATGTTGGAAAAGATTTTGAAAATCTCCAAGGACTACTGACAAATTCAGTCAAACTTGGACGATTCAACCATTGTGGAAGACTGTGTGGTATGTAATAATTATGTGAATGTTGGAAGTTGTTTCATAGCTCAAAAATATCATTACAAATTATTTGTTTACCTTCAAGTACAACACAGCACAGAAAAGAGGACAGAGGCAGTGTGACCAGAAACAATGAAAAATATTAACATGGTTTACATATTTTTCTATTACCCCAAGCTCAATGCAATGCAACTAAAGTTATTTGTGGATTGTTTTTTCTAGAATGATATCGGACCTACGCCCTTCAAACAGCATTTTGAGGACTTAATAACCCAAACAGTTATTGAGAAATCTGGTGATGACAACATGTACTTCTGCCCGACTTTCATCCCTTCCTTGCTTAAGTACTTTCTGCCCCTGGCTGGTCTGTGGTCTGGCCTACTCTTGGGTAAGTTTTATTTTGCACGTCTTTCTATAGCTGCTTGTTAATGTAATGTAATATAAAATAATAAGGCATGTTTACTGTTTGGTTAGGTGACCTTGGATGCCATGGAACAGGGACCATTTATCAGAAACTTTCCCAGAAGTACAAAAATGCTGCAAAAAAACCCACACAGGTACAAAAACCTAAAGCTTTGATGTAATATTGAATTTCAATGCATTATTCTATAATCAATATTATAAACTGCAATGTAAACAGTATGTAATCCAAGTGATTGTTAACGATATAATTTGATGTACCGTAACTAATATGTTCAACCGCAGAATTACACAGAGGACAACAAAACTCAAGGGATAATGGAAAAAATCCAGTGGGACCTCAAAGAGATCCGTTTTCAATGGAGACGTCTGACCAGGCTGGACGATTTTGTACATACATACAAAGTCACCTTGAGCGCCCTGCTAAGGGAATATGGCGACTCTCTGAGGAGGGGGAAGAAGGTACAATTTGTTATTTATATATGGCTGTTATGTTATCACATTTGTCCCTAGTCATTAAGCATTGCTATCGATTATGTTAGGAAAATATCACTCGCCACTGGCTTGAGTTTCAATAATCAGGATACATGTATTTATTATCCTTGCAAGAATGGAAGTATTCATCACGTACAGAGCATTTGGTACAAATAGTTCACAGAGCAGTGTCCTTCACAAGCTTTATATATAAGAGACTTGTAGACAGACTTTTTACACCGTCACAAGATAGAGGAATACCGGTTCAAAGCAGTATACAATGTTTAGTTCATATTAGCTAAGGCTCACGACAGAAATGATCATGCTTGTCATATGTCTATCTCCATAGAGGCTGAATCATCATGTTAATCACATAGCTATCATATGCCTCAAACAGTCCTGATTCTCTTCTAGGTAATCACACATCCCGTTACGTACACAGCTACTTAGGGTCTTTGTCATCATGTGCTACTCTGATATTCAAAGAGTACATTCAGTATTTTCTCAACAGTTATTCTGCAGGTAATTTGGTCATTATTAACAGTTATATTAGGTGTGCTAATAATATCACAATAATATTGATACACCAATCAAAACTGTGATGCAACTATGCTGAATGTAGTTGGTTTCATAATTTTGATGAATAATAATTAATGAAATAATACATTTATTTCAGGCAAAGATAATGTTTGTTGTGAAAAGAAAACAACATTGAATAATGTGAAATGGCAGAATATGTAATGAAAGGTAATTTATGAGTGCATTTACCCTGTCAATATTCCTTATTAACTGCAGACCCATCGTGTGGACATGGAGCGATGGAAAAAAAGAAAGCAGAACAGGCGAGGAGTTTATGTGACACCCATAAACAAGCCTTTTGTTTTCAGACAGCACAAGAAGAATGTATGTATTTTTTGAGAGCAAACCATTGTTATCCTGTTTGTTGAAAATAACATAAATGTTATATTTGTGTTGTTAACACTTTGTTTTTATCAGCTCATGCAGAAGACAAAAACAGCAAAAGCTCCAGCTCCACTACAAAAACAAGCGCCAGGTGAAACGGAAGCACATATTCCATCACAGGTAATCCCATTTAGCATGGTTAAACAAAGCCAGGAAGCATTTGAAACACATACATCTAAACCAGCTTGGAATCTAAAGCTTAATGTTGCATTTTCTATTAGTATACTGTAGGTAATGATAGAAGAACTGAAGATTCAAATTGTGTGATGAAGTGATTAACTATGACATGCACTTAACAACACATATTGGACAATGTGAAAGGCAATGTTGATGTTTCGGCTTCTATACAGGATCCAAAAGACAAGGCAAGACAAGGTCAATCTTCATCCACATCAGACATGACGGAGCATGCTGAGGATGACGCACAGGGAGGTAAAGTGGATGCTTCATCAGAGGTAAGAAACTGTAAGGACACATTATCAGGGAGTTCATCAGAGGGACCAGATAAAAATAGTAAAATAATTGATTAACTAAAAAGTTAAAATGCAGATTTTAATGTTTAAGGAATGCTAAAGGAACGTTATAAAATAATACCTTTCAATTTACAATGTGTATCTCATGCTCTGTTAACAATCTAGCTTTGGCACATAAAAATGATATAGTATTTTTTTTGTGACCCCTAGCTTGTGGAAAAAAAAGGACACTGAGGTGGTGGTGTCTGTAGTCCCCACTCAAATAAGAGGCAACAGTTTTACCATCCGTCACTCTGACATGCGGACCCTTAGACCACACCAGTGGCTTACAGGCGAGGTATTTCATCCATATCATAGGACAGAACCAGTGCTCATACCAAGTCTCTTCACTACACATGAATCCAATATTCATGTAACGCTAGCTTCATGGCACACCACTGAAGTCTTGTTAGCACCCAAAGCCTAAAATGTATTAAACTGTTTTTAAAAGTGAATCTTAAAAGGCATCCACAGTTGAATATTTAACTTTTATTGTACACTAGAAGAAGTAGTCAATGTGGTAATTCACTGTTATAATTTTCTGTTTTTATCAACGAAACTTAACACCTGTCTACATTATTATTTAATATAATTGTATTTCTTATTAATGTCTGCTTGTCGACATTCTCTCCAGATCATCGAGTGTCTTTTCCATATACATGCACATAAATGTGAACTGGGGACGAGGATTTATATTCTCAACCATTACTCAGCTGGTGTGATCCTCTTTGGGAAAAGAGAAGAGGTCATGAAGCACACTTTGTCAAAGGTAACTTGTGTTTCTATTGAGGATAACTACAAAGGTTTTCATTATGTCTTTGTCTAAATATAAACATACTCTATCAAGCTATTTGACTCTACTGTATAAAGAAAACAAATACAGCCTGATGGGAAATGGAAGTTGTTTTGTTCGTATGTATTACAGATACACTTTGACAGCTATGGAGCCATTGTGTCCTTTGTACATGTGGACGGTGTACACTGGACATTTCTGGTTAGTAGTGTCTATATCATATAATTGTATATTTCTTGATCAGCTAAGTTTTTGGAGATGTTGTGTTTATTTCAAAAATATATATTTCTTTTTCTGTGTCCACAGTACATCAATGCTGAAGAAAGCACAGTGTATTTGGCAGATCCTGCACGCAACTCTGCAGAGCAGGCAGAGTCAGACAATGCTGCCAACAAATTCAGGTACTAACTGCATCCAATTTCACCTATTTTTCAAAAATATTTATTTCATTCTATTCCCTCATATATAATGTTTATATTTATTGTTATATTTATGTGGGAATAGATGGATCAGCTATATTGCCACAACCAGCCCTTTTGTTTTTTTATTGTATGTGCTACTACACCAGAACATATAATGTGTGAAAAATGTGTGCATGTTTGACTTTGGTCCATACCGATTATACCATAACACCCAATCCACTGAATAAACAACCTGTCCTTAGAGTGAACAATTGTCAATTCATTTTGACATCAGACTAGGTGTCTGCATGTTACATCTTAAAATATACATTTGGGAAACATGCATTAACATCACTTCAAATTGTGTTACTCGACTGCTGAGACACAGTGTGACAAGGATTTATGTTATTATGCGAGTATTGTATTTACACAGTATGCATTGTACATTAATAATATATCTTATCTCACGCAGTGATTACTTCAAAATGAGGAGGACCTGCTGCAGTAAGACAGACTGGGTAGACATAAAATGGAAGAGAGGAGTAATGAAACACCCAGTACAGCAGGATGGCAATAGCTGTGGGGTAGTTGTCTGCATGGTAAGTGGAATATTTATTTTCATATATGCTTTTTGCTAATATAACATTCATTCAGCTTTTAGGATTAAGTCTGTTTTACTGCCTTTCACAAAAACACATTTGGGGTAGTTGGATAGTTATTTTAAGAATATAACATGGTGTATCACTTTAAGATGGCAAAGGAGGTCATGGAAGTCTTTCCTAAAACACCAACAATGGCCTTTGGGACCACAAAAAAGGAGATGGCGCATCAAAGAAAAGTGTTGGCCATGGAAATACTGACAGCATCAGGTGCGTTCTACTTTTTCAAAATATCAATTCAATTGTGATATTGTTGTACTTGAGATGTAACATTAGCATTTTTTTTCATCAGTGTTTGACAAAGAAGTCAACTGTGCCATGTGTGCCGGCATAAAACCACCCGGCTCAATGCCACATCACACCCACACTGACTGGGTAAGGTTTAATGAATATTGAGACTTCAGATATTTCACAATTTAGATTTGTAGAAAAGCATTAAATGAAAGCAGAAACTAAATACAAACACTTGAGGGATGCAGTTGACCATTGCTCAAAGCTGTTATAAGCAGGGCTTTACTCTCATTTGTCTCCACTCCTTCTATTGCAGATTCAGTGTGACAGCTGTTTCCGGTGGTGCCACACACAGTGCCTGCATATGGACCAAAAGTCTCTTGAAGTTGGGGACTGGGTTTGCTCTCTGTGTGACAAATAATGTTTGTGCATGAACATGCGGTTGCTGTATGTCCTATATTAACAAAAAGGCACCAGCTGGGGACTGGGACTCCAGACTTTTCCAAAAAGCAGGGGATGTGGTTGCTGTGAAATAGTTTTCATTTATATGCTCAATTTGATATATTTAGAATATATATTTGAGATTTGTTTAACTAAGAAGTGACCGTTGAATAAATATTGCAAAACAAAGCCTATATCACATGGTAGCCAGTGTGAATTGTTTCCTACATTACAAGATTTCGATTTTCTATAGTACAAATCTGGGCCATTTGTTGTATAATTTCTCCAAACACATACAGTACAAATGCCTGTTTTGGAGTCTTCAAAAGGTGCAGTAGAAGGACTTTACATTTTGTTAAAGACAGGATAATATAAGGTGTTGTCATCATGGGGAATGAGCCTTGTACAGGGAAAGTTTGCTGGAGGCTGAAGACGTTGACTGGGACTGATGGATTGATGAGGCTGATGAGACTGAAGAATCTACAAGGAAAGAACTAGGGGCAGAGAAATAATATATTGTACATATATTAAAAGACATGCAGCGTCATAAGAGGCCAACAAGAGTGACAAGGGTGTGTCACTCTGCTGAAGGAAAGTTGTGAACAGCTATCCAGGCCAGTCTCTAAAGACTTTCCAAAGTGTAACAATGCTGTTGCTGGAGTACTGATCTAGTGGATCTAGTGTTCATATCATGTGTTTAACATATCCTGTTAAAATACTCTGTCCAACATAGTCAGTATTGTGAAGAACATTTTTCTAACGCTTATTATATATCAGAAACATGTTTATTACCAGGTAGGTTTACACGTACGAGGAATTTGACGTGGTAAAAAAAGAATACATTATTGTACTCTGGAAGGGAGTTCAATCATTTTATCTCTCATCAAAGATGGCAGAAAACATGCATTATTGTACTCAGGGGTGGAGTTTGACAAAGGATTACTCAAATGGTAAACAGTAAAAGTACTTGATTGTACTTTTAGTAGTAGTCCAAGTAGTACTGAATCCAACAGTACCAATTACATGAAGAACTTATTGCACAAAATCATTTTATCTCATCAAAGATGGCAGAAAACATGCATTATTGTACTCAGGACAGGAGTTTAAACGAGTATTACTCAAAAAGTACAAAGTAAAAGTACTTGATTGTACTTGTGCTACTAGTCCAAGTAGTACTGAATCCAACAGTATCAATTTCATTAAGAACTTATTGCACAAAATCATTTTATCTCTCATCAAAGATGGCAGAAAACATGCATTATTGTACTCAGGGGTGGAGTTTGACAAAGGATTACTCAAAATGTACACAGTAAAAGTACTTGATTGTACTTGTGCTACTAGTCCAAGTAGTACTGAATCCAACAGTACCAATTTCATTAAGAACTTATTGCACAAAATCATTTTATCTCAAATCAAAGATGGCAGAAAACATGCATTATTGTACTCTGGAGGGGAGTTTGACAGGGGATTACTCAAAAAGTACACCGTAAAAGTACTTGATTGTACTTTTGGTAGTAGTCCAAGTAGTACTGAATCCAACAGTACCAATTTCCTTAAGAACTTATTGCACACAATCCTTTTATCTCTCATCAAAGAGGGCAGAAAACATGCATTATTGTACTCAGGGGTGGAATTTGACAAAGGATTACTCAAAAAGTACACAGTAAAAGTACTTGATTGTACTTGTGCTACTAGTCCAAGTAGTACTGAATCCAACAGTACCAATTACATTAATAACTTATTGCAAAAAATCATTTTATCTCTCATCAAAGATAGCAGAATACATTCTTTTGTGTACTCAGGACAGGAGTTTAAACAAGTATTACTCAAAAAGTACACAGTAAAAGTGCTTGATTGTACTCGTGGTAGTAGTCCAAGTAGTACAGAATTCAGCATAACCGATTTTATTAAGAACTCATTGCAAAAAATTATTGTATCTCTCATCAAAGAGGGCAGAAAACATGCATTATTGTACTCTGGAGGGGAGTTTGACAGAGTATTACTCAAATAGTACACAGTAAAAGTACTTGATTGTATTTATGGTAGTAGTCTAACATGTACTGAGTCCAACAGTACCAATTTGATTAAGAACTTATGGCTAAAAATCATTTTAACCCTCATCAAATATCATTGATTGATTGATCAAATATAGCATAAGCACTTGTACTACCGTCAGCGCCACTTCTCGGCGATTACCGTAAAGACGCTATTAATCGCGCACTCAAAAATGAAGCGCTGCTCATTTGACCAAGCAAATGCGAGAGACGGCTGAGTTGACCGCAGTTCCCCTTTTGGGAGCGTAGGACAGAATTAGGAGGAAATTCCGTCTCGTAGCGTTTGTGCATTGTTTTGAAATGCCGCTCCTAAATTACCCTTCTTCGATAAAGCTACGCTCGCATTGCAGATGAGACAGATGGACTTTCAATTGGAATAAATACAAAAATAATCATCCTCCCACTCGGAGTTAAAATGATATATGTTTTGCTTCTGCCATAATTGCGGTCTTGTTTGTGTGCGGACTGTCACTCCTGTTGACACGGACAACGTTAGCGAATTAGTGCACTGCCCACTAGCCACGCCCCGACACATGTGGTCACGGCGGCCAATCACAAAGCTTTGATGCGTTCATGTGCATTATTCTGACACAGGAAGATTATGTTATAGGACATTAACGATAAAACAGAATATTGTTGTTCTATTTTTAGACACATCTCGCGATCGACTGGGAATCTCCCCGCGATCGACCGGTCGATCGCGATCGACCTGGTTGGGCACCCCTGGTTTAGCCTCTACAACTTCTCTTCTGTGATCCAGGTGGCTAAGCAATAAAGACGCTCATGAAGCTTTATCAATTTGATGATGACATAACTCCAAAATGACAGTTTTAGATCTCATAAATTGAACTAATTCAGTTGAAGGTGCACTGCAATAAAAGCACCAGATATTAACATTCAGCCCAGGGCAGCATTTCATATGTTGAGTGTATTGCATACAAAACTGAACCTGGGGGGCACTGTCCGCAACATGAAAACGATAACTAAAGCCTGGCTGTAAACCACTGCCACGCACTCTTATCTCCTGTCCAAAGGGCAGGCAGAATGCACTGCAGCAGTAATAACAAAGTGGGCTCGTATTATTGCTGTGAGAGAGTCCAATCTCAGCTATGGCGCAGACTGAGGAATGGGGAAAGCCTGTGGAGAGGAGAGGGGTGAGTTGTTCTGTCTGCTCTGTGACAGTATACAAATGTGGAGTAATCATGATGGATGATGTTTGTGTCGTAAAGAGTGGCTTCACATATTGCACTAATGTCCCCCCCAACAGAGATTAACTGCAGTCCTGGTGTTGGCAACACTCATATCTGGATTTGGCTCATCGTTCCAGTATGGTTACAATGTGGCTGTGGTCAACTCTCCTTCACCGGTAACAGAAGCAGAAACACACTAGCTTCACTCTAGCACAAAGTGTCTCTTATATCTCAATCTCGATCTTTGTTTATTTATATAGCACATTTAAAACCACCTCGATTGACCAAAGTGCTGTACAGGGAACACATATAGACAATAGGAGTAAAATAATAAAACAATAATTAAAAACAAGATAAAAAGCACAATAACTAGAGACATAAAAAAACATCCAAATATCCAAATGTTATGCTCAACTAGTATTAAAAAACCAGTGCAAAGAGATGAGTTTTTTGCTGAGATTTAAAAATATGATATATATTATTATATAATATCTTATATGATGATGTGTTGCTCTCTTCAGTTCATGCAGCAGTTCTATAATGCCACCTACATGGAGCGTTACGGCGCACCGATGGAGGGCACCCTCCTGACCCTGCTGTGGTCTCTCACTGTGTCCATGTACCCGCTGGGGGGCTTCTTCGGCTCGCTGATGGTGGCCCCTCTGGTCAACAAACTAGGGAGGTAATATGTCACATGTATCATGCAATGTCCAAATCTGTATGGGTGTTTGTTTAACTAACAGGACTTTTTTTTCCTGGAACAGGAAGGGCACCCTTCTCTTCAACAACATCTTCTCCATCGTCCCTGCTGTGATGATGGGAGTCAGCGAGATTGCCAAGAGCTATGAGATCATCATTGTGGCGAGGTTCATAGTGGGCATCTGTGCAGGTTAAACTTTTTGATAATCCAAATTTCCAAAAGTCATTTATATGTAGCCTATCTTGAAGAAATACTTTACCTCCAAAATGATAATTTGTATATGAACTACTCACCAAGTGTTACCTTTAATTTGCAAAGGAAACTTGTTGCCTCCATGGTAAAACATTTTTTGAAATCAGAGACAATACTTGCTGATTTAAAGTAAATGCAGGCCACATTTGACAGCAGCACAATTTTATCAAAACATCTGTTTCCAAGCTCTCCCCAACCTGTGCAGTATAATCCAAGTCTTATTCATCCAGTTGCATGCTCACTGCTTCCACGACACATGCATGTTGCAAACTTACAATTGTAACACTTTTGCATATAAAGCATAGACGCCTGAGACTTGTAAATGGATTATTTAATATTGCTTTGCTGTTGTTAATCACTGCCTCCATTAATTTATTTGTTCACCCTGGAGGCATGCAAGAAAAACAAAAGGATGAGCACTGAAAATGATCATTTTGGAGGTGAATTTTCCCTGCACGTTTTCTTTCCCTGTCTGCAGGCCTCTCATCCAACGTGGTGCCCATGTATATCGGAGAACTCGCTCCCAAAAACCTGAGAGGAGCCCTTGGCATCATACCTCAGCTCTTCATCACTATCGGCATCCTCAGCGCACAAGTGCTTGGCATCAGAAACATACTGGGCAACAGCACAGGTCAATTTTCCGCTTATATGTTGAAGCACATCCTTAACAGCTGGTTGTTGGAGACTCAGGAGAGATTTGAATGTATCTGTTTATTGGTAAAATATGGTTTGGTCTTTATCTGGTTCTGTCTTAGAAGTACTGCTTAAGGCAGCGTTTGTCATGGAAATATCTCTTAAATACACTTAATGGCTTTGGAGTAAACAAGTTACTCTACTCTGAAATGCATTTAATTTTGTTTTCCCTTGTCATGCGTCTGGGTTTGTTGTATCCTAACTATGTTAGACCAATGTTTGAACTGCTAAAATGTTATGTTTTGGCAACATGTTGTAGTTAGGGTTAGATTAGGTTAGTTTTTAGGGTATTTAACTCGTCTAAGGTATTTTTTAGCTTGTAAATGTGTCTGTATAATGCATGAACTCTCTTCATTACTAAATGTGTTGTTCAGATATATTGTAAAAACGTTCTGTTCAATGGCTGGGCCACTATTGCCAAGCTTCGGATTGCTTATCAAGGTGCATTTTGATTGTACTTGTATTTTGAACTGTTTGTGAATAAATAGAATTTTCTCTGTTCCCTATGTATCCAGGATGGACCCTCATGCTGGGTTTGACCAGTATCCCCGCCCTGGTGGAGCTCCTGCTGCTGCCCTTCTTCCCAGAGAGCCCCAGGTACATGCTGATCCAGAGAGGAGACGAGAAGACGGCTCTGAGAGCTCTGCAGCGTCTGCGCGGTAAAGAGGACGTGGATGCAGAGCTGTCAGAGATGCGTCTGGAGGACCAATCAGAGAAGGCCGAGGGCCGCCTGTCCGTGCTCAGCCTGCTATCCCAGCGCTCGCTCCGCTGGCAGCTCATCTCCATCGTCGTCATGAACATGGGCCAGCAGCTGTCGGGGGTTAACGCGGTGAGCAATGGCCCTGGTTCCTGACTCACTGATGCACACACTTACTCTGATCAGATATAATGAATCACTTACACAACACTTTCTTCTGTTTTCAATTACAGTAATGTTGCATCCTCCTTCTTATGTTTTAAACTCTGTTATCCAACTCTTGCCTAATTATTTACCTATAATGCATTTGGTAGCTTTGAGTATATGCATCAACATACTTATGATGCATTATAGATTATAATGAAAGTGAATAATTACAGATAGGCCCTCTATGCTTATAGATCATGGATCCTAATATTCGCTCATACACTGTAAGGATCATAGTTATTATCAGTTTCATAATATAATGCAATATTATTACGGTTAAATGTCAATTTGATTCAACAGGTTATGACAGACAGTAAAATGTGAATTCTGAATGATGGACATCTACATTTCCCTAATGTAACGTTTCCCTAACTTTAAACCAATGCTGTAAACACTTAAGTGATTTAAATCTCAGCATCTAATGATATTTCTTTCACTTAAAGCAAACAATCGCCACTTACAGTGACTTATGACCAACTTGTTATGTAGGCTACTAAATCCGTCTGTAACTCAGGAATTTCATTACTTCACCTAAAGGATCCCATGACGACTTATAATGGATAATCCTATTAAAATGTAATATAAATGCATTAAAATGTGTTTAAATCATTACAATGGGACCTATTGTAAGCTGTGATGATTACAAAAAATATGAGCAATTATGATACTGGATCGTATAAGTCATTATAAAATACTTGACTTGTTTATAATGATTATTTTATAAACATTTTGGACATTTATGAGTGTTTATAACTATACATATGCTATGAGTATGTTTATAATGCATTATTTAAATGACATTATATAAAGTGTTACATGCATTTCTCCCTCCCTCCTCAGATCTACTATTATGCAGACAGCATATATGCCAGTGCAGGTGTAAAGCAGGACGTCATCCAGTACGTCACCGTGGGAACAGGTGCAGTGAATGTCTTCATGACCATCGCTGCTGTAGGTACCCTGTGATATCTGTCGTTTGATCTTATCAGAGTAGATGATTATAGTTATGAACAGGGAATTTGTCTCACCAGGTCTTCATCGTGGAGGCCGTGGGGCGACGGGTGCTCCTCCTCTGTGGCTTTGGGATCTGCTGTGTGGCCTGTGTGCTGCTCACTGTCGCTCTCAACTTCCAGGTATCATCATGGATGTACAGTTTAAAGTGAACCATCAGAAAGCTTCAGTGTCTCACAGCCTCAACATGTAACTCTGCTGCCCTCTAGTGGTTCACCATACACATATATAATCAGCAGAGTTTCTCTATAGAGGACCTTGAGGTCAGGAGACATGTGAATCATAGGAGATTTTTAGAAGAGGTTAATTTGGGATTCTTGAAAAAGATTAAAACTGTTTTTAAAAATCTGACAGAAGAGGACACGTTGAAGACTTGAGCACACGCCGCTATATTTACAGAGCAACCCCCGCCCGCTAAATAGCCTTGTTCTGCATTGGAAAGTACACAGTTAAAACAGAAGAGTTAAGAAGAAAGAAAAAAAACGATGATTGTTAAAATAAAAAACAAAATATAGACAGAGAATACAAATAAGTCACTTAATGTAAGTCAGTAGTCGTCTGTTTACTTATTCATGGACAAACTGAGGTAAAGAGCAACTGTAGTGGTTTATTTATTGAACCATCTCATTTCTCTTCAATAGCTTCCATATCATGTGACCAATTGACTCGAGATCAATGCATGACTACACTAGACGGGTAGGACACATCTCTTTTTATTGGATTTTAATGCACCTTCTTTTTTGAGACAAACAAATGATTTGTTTTTCAAAAGCTTCCATATCATGTGGCACAGTGACTCAAAATCCATACCAGATATTATTAGTATAGTGGACAAATAAGACACACCTATTTTTATTGGATTTAAGTCCACCATCTATGTTTCAAACTCAGTGGTGGTGCAATAGGCTCGAGTAATTGATTTTGTTCAAATGTATGAAGTGCATTTCGAACAACTTAAAAAAAAGAAAATCAGCAGTTTAGCCTCGTGGTCCAGAGGGCCGGAATTCAAAGCCAACACAGCAGGATGTGCGTCACTGTGCTACGATGATCACTGCACTGGTGTATCATTTTAATATATTACCCTTTTGGTTGTTGGTCTGGAAGATAAATGTGCTGACTTGACATGTTTATTTGCTGGGGTCATGAGAACTTTAAGGACATAAAAACAGTCACCCACCAGTGAAGTATGAGGAAACACAGGCCATCAGACAACCACAAAGCCAGCGGTGTGATCTCACCTGGATTAAAAATCAGACAGGCCTCACTTTCAGCTGTCTGTTTAAATCTTCCCACACAATGCAGCCATTAGCAGGATTTTGTTACACATATGTTCCTGTTTAAAAGCATCATGATATCCTGTTAATAATAACTGCAGCTGCTGCTTTGTGTTGACAGGAGAGCGTGACGTGGATGTCTTACGGCAGCATCGCCTGTGTCATTATCTACGTTATAGGACACGCCATAGGACCCAGTGAGTCTGACCTGGCGATGGTTATTTACACACCCCCTGATTATAACAGTTGTCCATTAGCTGAAGTGTTGTTTGGATGTGCTCAGACATGTAATGATACAGGTTGCAAATCGGCACTCAGGCATGATCTCCCCACGCTGTGACCCTGAAGAGTGATGACGTGTCTCGAGTGTTTGTGTTGTGGTTAACCACATCTGTTCCCTCCAGGTCCCATTCCTACTGTGGTGACCACCGAGATGTTCCGGCAGTCGGCCCGGCCCGCTGCCTTCATGGTCGCAGGCTCCGTCCACTGGCTCTCCAACTTCACTGTTGGCCTCGTGTTCCCCTTCCTTGAGGTCAGTTACACAATGTGTCCTGCGTTGGGGGGAAGGAAGTTTGTTGTTTTGAAATGTAATTAGTTACAGATGTTATAGGTGTAAACAAAAAGGCATTCCAGGTCACTTCCTGACAGTGATATGATCATTGATACACTACTTTACTGAATATTGGAATGAAGGGCTGTCTGGATTGGCAGACACACTTGTAATACCTCCCAACAAAATAAACACTGTTAGCATTGAGTGGATGAAATGCTACGTTTCAAGCCCCAAACTCACAATATGAAACAATATCATTGTTATAATAGAATTGACACAACAGTCAAACATGAAACAAACATCTGAAACAATACACCATTTAAAAATATATACAACAGTTCAACATTTTGGGGAATACAAACGAAGATCAATCCACTGTTACTGGACTGCACTGACCCTTAAATCCAGTGAAGCTGCTCAGTGGCCAGTGGGCAGATACCTGAATAAATAAAGGTTAAAACTAAAAACATGAAAGCATTGTTGAAACAGTCTTGTATTTACCCTGAGGTTGCCAGTAGGTACACTGATCCTGGACACAAAATAGTATTGTCCATAATCGCTAATTGTCATTTTAACATTGTAATCTATTTGTTGTACATATTAAACAAACAAGATATAATAAAACATGTTAACTGCTTACATTCATGATGCAGGAAGGCCAATTGTATTGCCTTTGTTACCAGACTAGCTATTTTCCCTGTCTTTATGCTATGCTAAGCTAAGCTACTTGTCTATTGGCTGTAGCTTAATGTTTAAAGGAGACAGATACAAGAGTTTTACTGACATAATGTAATGTCTGAGTATTAAGAGGATCCAGTGAAAAGTGGAAAAATAAAACGTTTTTGTAGAGAACAGAAGGTTTGGTTTGTACAATCTGGAAATGAGTACTCAATTTTAAATGTATCTGAAAAAGCAACAGTATTTTAAGAATCCATATGATCAGAAATGTCTCCTCTGTAAACACATTACAAAAGATTGATGTTTACTAGTTCCAGTCCCACTCCACTCAACAATATGTTTTGGTTATTGTAACTTCACTTGAATGTTTGAGCTTCACTGTGCATAATGATTTATGTGCGGAGTTTGACGCTAAAAGCTTTTTTCACATCTATCTGTTAAAGAAGAAATGTTTCTACGGAAGTAGCATTAGTCACTCTTATTTCAGGGCACTTTCAATTGTCATTGTGTGTTTTCCAATAAACTGAGTTGTGTAATTTTAAGAGATAAACACCACCATTATGAATGTCTCATGTTTCACCACAAGACTTCATCTGCAAACCACAATGCAAACAGTGGAGGATTTGTTAGAGAAACAGAAACCAGAGAAAGTGCAGTCCAACCAAATGAGCGTGCAAGGCGCACTTTACCGCACCTTGGATGCTGTTTATGTCCAACCAACTGTTTGTGTCTAAGATATTCACAACGTTTCATCGTGTGGACACACTGATCACATTTCCTCTCTCTTTCTCCAGAGAGGTCTGGGCTCATACAGCTTTATAATTTTTGCCTTCATCTGCCTGGTCACGCTGATCTACATCTGGCTTGTGGTCCCAGAGACAAAGAACAAGACCTTCCTGGAGAACTGCCAAATGTTTGCCAAGAGGAACAAAGTGGAGATCAAACTAGGCGATGGGGATCTGCCTCTGACAGAGGGTAAAGAAAGTCTGGAGGATGCAGCAAGGGTCACAACATTCTGAAGATAAATGAGACCATTCAGGGGAGAGGAAGTCTACACCCTGGGGAGGATTCAAAAGGAATGGATACGTCTTAATTTAACGTCTGTTCTATTTCACAAGGGATCTTCACATAATCTCTTTGTTTATAGTTTTTCCATGGCTGTTGTGGCTTATACATTTTTTTTTACAGAACATTCAGATCTTAAGGACAAACAAGATAATGAAGAGGCAAAAAGGTTTATTTATGACCTCCACCCTCTGTTTTATAGCCACTATTATGCATTCCTGGTGGCCATGCAGAAAACGCCTGAATAAAATAAAGTGTCCTTTATGTTGAGCAATCGTATTTTTAACAATAGGATGTTTTACAGTGGATTTATAACTATATTATAACTAAATTATATTGATGTTAAGCTTATTCTAAATATAAAGACAGGCTATATTGAATACATTGGGTGTACTCGCATAACGTGAGTGCCTTCCATCTATTATCCTATATGATTTTGTATTCTTACCTTAGGTGTGATTGATTTGAAGTTTTTTCAAGGTTTTTGGAATGAATCATGCATTAAAATACACCTGCTGTTTTTCTTTGTATAAGTAATTCATCAATGCTACAAGTTATACTAAGATCCTTGTGTAATTCAATTGCTAAAAATATAGTAGAACTTGATAACATGCAGCCTTTTAAAGGTGTGAATGTGAACTTGAGTCATTAAACAAACCAGCGAGTCACTTTCAAGCCTTTATTGAAGATGCAAACATGAATACAATGCATGGCCAAAGTTATAAGATGCAGTTTGCATTAAATATTGACTTGCAGTTCCCTGAAAGACATTTGAACCTTCAGTACATATAGACACTTTATTCCCCTACATCAGCACTTATATTTTGGTTTATTGCAGAACTTTAAAGCGAAGAGAAGCTCTTCAGCATCTGTACTGACTGTCCAGCTGCACGCCTCCAAACAGACTGAGCTCGGTGGTTCCCCAGCTGAACACATTTCCCATCACGGTGCTATTTGTCTCACATGACAGCTGGTCTCGGATATCTGCCGTGGTTAGCACATAGTTCCACACGTTGATGTCTGTCATCTTACCCACAAAGGCGTCTGCATTGGAGATGCCCAGTAATCCGTCCTGGTTTTTGCCCACGATGAACACACCGTGAGGGCTGATGGTGTAACCGTTCTTTAGGTACCGCTGCTCCCCCACCATGCCATTGATCCACAGCTCTGCTCCCCCGGTGAGGGAGGACCAGGTGATGCAGTAGTTGGCCCATTTGTGTGACTTGAAGTTGTGTGGCAGGTTGACAAACTCGTTGCCAATCCAGAGGCCTACTTCTCTCGAATCCCTGTCCTCAACGATGGAGATGGTCAGCTCGTTGTCGTTGCGGTTGCTGGAGTAGGAGATGACGGTGTGGACTCCCTCGAGCTGAGGCCGCACGTGCATGCAGACTGTGAAGGAGTCGAGCTCCATGGGATGGCCGAGGCGAGCCAAAGCATAACTGCCAGAGTTTTTCTCCTGAAAGTGTAACACCAGAGGAAAGAGAGCTCGAGTTTCTGAGGAAAAACAGAAACAACTACAATCAGACTGGCAGTTGAGAAAAATGGGAAATAAACATCTACCTTTTAAAGAGGATATATTATGCTCCTTATACTTTCTCGTACTTTGCAAAGGTTGCGGATGGAGAGGTAGGGGGTGGTGTCTTTTAAAAACCTGCACTTGAATTTGGGAGACTCAAATCTGACAAAGTCAGTCCACAAAACACTGACTTTGTTGCCCTATTTCACAGAGTATGGTAGTCACTCCAGATACCCAAATGTGCACAAGCAATGAAAAAGTGCCCCCTTAAACCATCCACAGTTACAAACACATTTAGATCTCAAATTCAATCAGACTGAAAACAAGGACTCACCTAATCTAGTAGGCCTAGAAGGATTGTGATGTCCACCTTAAAAGGAATGAGTAAGAAATAAAGTAAATATGGGCACTTTTATTTCACATCCAGCCATCTCTATCAGTCTTTGTGACTCACTTGTATAAATATGCTTTCCAAGGGACGTGATCAGACCCTCGATCTTCAGCAGTCTGGATTCAATCTCGTCTTGCCGACAAAATGCTGAAGAAACAAAAAGAGAATAAGGAAGATAAAGATTAGACTGAGGCCTTAGTCATGCCCCACGTTTTTTCTGAGACATAAATGATATTGCTCTTTTGATTTATCACTTTGCCGTCATAAACGACATACTTCCTTTCCCGAGGCGTGGCAGGAAAGAAGACTCCACCACTCGGCTGTTGAGAGGCTGGGCCATGCGGTAGTCATTCCACAGGGTCTGGTTGTGGATGTCCATCAGGGTGTGCTCCAGTTTTCTGATCTGAATACACAAAGAAGAACATTAAGCTTAAACATCACAACACAGAGCATTGCATTTTGTTCAAATGTAGTAATGAAGCCCTTTCTATCCGCCGTACCTGGTTATGTGACAGAGTGATGGGAGTATCAAACACAGTCCAGAGGATGCTCTCGTAGCAGGGTGGCGTGGTGAGGGAGCCCTCGTATCTAAAGAAATGGTTGAGGTTCTCGGGCAGCATGGAGCGCACATCGATGCCTGATATGTTCATGGTCTGACCTGTCAGCAGCACATTACAATCCCATTAGATGCAAACACTTAAGGTCGATTCAATTAAGTGTGCAGTCACTCACCTGTATATTTGATATTGTCCAGATTGGAGATGAAATCACTGTAGTACGTGTTCTCAAAATGTCCGTCCTGAAGGTAAAATCAAAGCTCAAACTTAGATCTTCACTCAAAACAATATGGTGAGTGTGTAAAGAATGAAAGGAGGCTTGGTTATTCTGTTAAACAAAAGGCTTAAGTTACATATAGGATACAACAAGTCAAAGTTGAACCAGGATGTGGGTCTGTAAACAGTAATGAATTCCAAAAAACTGCAATTCCAAAAGTATGGAAGTCAGCTTATGTCTTGCCTTTGCTAAAAGGACGGGAAGCAACTATTTTAAATAACTATAGGCCAATCTCTAAATTATCAATTCTGGCCGAGGTGCTCGAACGCCTAGTGAGTGAACAAGTAAAGGAGTTTTTATGTAAGAATGATGTCTAAACATCAGTCAGGCTCCAGAAAGCAACAAAGCACCATCACTGCGACAATGAAAGTGGTGAATGACATTACAAGTATTTTAGATAAGCAGAGTTGTGCAGCCCTATTTATTGACCTTTCCAAAGCGTTTGATACCGTCGATCATCGCATCTTAAAGCAGAGGCTACTCAGTATTGGCATATCCATAACCTGCTTTACAGCTCTCAGCACTCAAGCCTGCATTATTAACATAGGCAGGGCCAGTCTATTGATTGCGTGAAGTAGAACTGCGTGACTCAGTCATCCTTTAGCTCAAAAAGCATTTAAATACCGCATTTAGAAACTGATGAACTCAGTGTGCATCTGGACCCGGTGACAACATTACCTATTGACGCAGCAACCACTGTAAGTTATATTCTTGTTTAATTAGACTTCTCGGTTTCATTTATTCGACTCTGTATAATTGTTACTGTAGCTAAAACGGCTAAATCGCTTTGAGAGATTTTAAATCTCAGATCTGCTCAGGCGAAACCTGCTTTACAGCTCTCAGCACTCAAGCCTGCATTATTAACATAGGCAGGGCCAGTCTATTGTCGCCCATCAGCTGTAGATAGTTAACTAATTAACTTCAGCTGTGAGAACTGAGCAATCAGGCGTCCATTTCGGGTAGCTCTTTCCTGGAGCGGCAGCTTCAGCGGCAGACAGGCTAAGACTGACAAAGACATTAGAGTCCTACGGGAGTCAAAGACTGACAAAGACATTAGAGTCCTACGGGAGTCACGAGGGAGGCAAAGAGGAGGCAAATCCTACTTTGATTGAGCTAAGTATCGTTGGCGTTTTTACTTTTGTTGTTTAGCCCCTCATGCTATAATCATGTGTATTTTCTCCATTCCTGTTCATGTGTCTTCTCGCAATTATCACTGGCCCCGTGTATCTCCTAATCGATATAACCGGCCTGCTCTCGTCTATCCCACGCGCTCCACTGAGATCCATCATCTAGTTTCAGGTGGCCTGTGGAACTGCCAGTCAGCTGTTCCTAAGGCTGACTTCATCTCTGGCTACACCTCCCTGCAGTCTCTGGATTTCCTTGCTCTCACTGAGACCTGGATTACTCCATCCAACACATCCACCCCAGCAGCTCTCTCCACTGCATATTCCTTCTCCCATACACCCAGACCCACTGGCAGAGGAGGTGGCACTGGTCTCCTGCTCTCTCCTAAATGGAGCTTTTCCCTCTTCAAGCTACCTAACTTTACTCCTTCCACCTTTGAGTTCCATGCCGTCACAGTAATCCATCCTATACAGTTAACCATTGTTGTTCTCTACCGTCCACCAGGCGCCTTGGGGGACTTCTTGGAGGAATTAGATCATCTCCTCTCACACATCCCTGAAACTGGCCCTCCCGCTGTACTTCTCGGAGACTTCAACCTCCAGATGGGGAAGATAGACAAACTAACATCTCTGTTAACCGCCTTTGCTTTCTCACTCTCTCCGTCCCCACCGACTCATAAAGCTGGCAATGTCCTTGATCTCATATTCTCAAGGAACTGCGCTACTTCTAACCTCTCTGTAAACCCGCTCCACACATCCGATCACTTCTTCATTTCATTCTCTCTATCCCTTTCCAAACATAACAAACTCATCTCTTCCCATCCTACACTTGTCCGCCGTAACCTTCGCTCCCTCTCTCCCTCTACCTTTGCCTCGTCGGTGCTCTCAGCCCTCCCTTCCTCTGATTCGTTCCAACTACTGCCTCCAAACTCTGCTGCAGAAACTCTCCTCTCTACTCTCTCATCCACTCTGGACTCGCTCTGTCCTCTGACATCTCGGCAGGCTCGTCAGTCCCCTCCGGCTCCCTGGCTAAATGATGCACTGCGTGCTAATAGAACCGTCCTTAGGGCAGCAGAGCGGAAATGGTGGAAATCCAAACACCGTGACGACCTCCTAACCTATCAAGCTCTCCTCTCCTCTTTCTCTGCTTCGATCTCTCAGGCAAAAAGCACTTTCTTTCAAGATAAGATCCAATCTTCCTATTCCAATCCTAAAAAACTATTTTCCATCTTCTCCACCCTCTTGGACCCTCCAAAAGCTCCTCCCCCCCTCCTCACTTCTGTCAAGCGACTTTGTTACCCACTTTGAAAAAAAGGTTAATGATATTCGCTCTTCTTTTTCTGACTCACCTTTACTCACCGCTGGGTCACCAGACCTTCCTTCCACCAACACACTAACCTCCTTTTCCCCTCTCTCTCCAAGTGAGGTTCTTACCCTCATTACCTCTGCCCGCCCTACCACCTGTCCTCTGGACCCTATCCCTTCAAACCTCCTTCAGACTATCGCTCCTGATATTCTACCGTTTCTCACCCATTTCATCAACACTTCTCTAACTTCTGGTCACTTTCCAAACAGTCTCAAGGAGGCAAGAGTAAACCCTCTCCTAAAGAAACCCACTCTCAACCCGTCTGATGTTATAAACTACAGGCCTGTCT